ACAAAAGCATGTGTTTGCGCTGCGCTAAAACAGCGCGTCAAAAATGCGCTTTAACGCAGCAACTGACGTTAGGAACGTGTGAGCCCCACCCATATTCACACGGGCCGACACCGTGTGACGTTTACACAAAGAAGAGACTTGGACGCAATTTGAATACGTCCACGGCAAATTGTTTGGACGCATCGTGGAAATTGCTAATGCAGAGTAATCAAGCGCTGAGCACACAAATATTCTAAAAGCGTTGTGGCTATGGAAATTTCAGTGGTCTGATTATGCGAGGAATTTGAAATGCGAGCTAAAATGCGGCATTTATTTTAGTCAAAATAAATAAGCAAATGATTCAAAACTCAACAGTATGGCTACGACAGGCGTGACTCCAATTTATGGATTTTCTTGAGGTTCTTTTAACAGAGTTCATGATTTTAGCTAAAAACAGAAGATTCGCTCGGCCATATATATGTCGCAGTAAGATAGTTATAGCCGTGATATAATTATATCCCTAGGGATATAGGTATATGCCGGGACATAGTTATACGAAAGCGATTCATTACTATTTCACTAGGTATATAATTATAAAACAGTCGAAGTTTAGTGATAATATCACTAAACTTCAACTATATTATAGTTATATCACTAGATTCAGTTTAGTGAAATAGAAATATTGGTTTTGTCTTTATTGAAAATCAACTTAATGTACCTATCCTGCAGAGTCACAATACTCATACTGATCATCATCATCTATCAACATCATCATCATCATAGTGTATTGCTAATGTTTAAATGTTTAAAGATAATTATGATTGTTTAAAATTGCCATTGGAATTACTGTAATACGTGTTAATGTCAGAAAAGTATTGACTCTCTGCAGGATACATTAGGTTGATTTTTAATAAAGACAAATCCAATATTTCTATTTCACTAAACTAAATCTAGCGATATAACTATATCACTAAACTTCGACCGTTTTATAATTATATCCCTAGTGAGATAGTAATGAATCGCTTTCGTATAACTATGTCCCGGCATATAGCTATATCCCTAGGGATATAATTATATCACGGCTATAACTATCTTACTGCGACATATATACGTATTTCGGATTTTCGCGATGGTTTTTGTTACACAACCAGCTGTTACTGTCAAAAAACTCGAAAGTATAAAAACATCAAAACAGCAAAATCTGATGAAGAACGTCATATGATTCTGAGCCAACTTTCCAAAAAATATGACGTTCGTGTCAAACAACTTCTTAGTTACCTTGACTTCCCCTGAGATTTTGGTTATTTTCAGTTAAAGTCAGCAAGTGTCAAAATTGTCGCTAGTACTGAGTGAGCCATCTTTATTGGCGCCCCTCGCGCCGTTTCCCTAATTTGTGGTTTTAGTGTCTCGTGGTTTTCACCTAATGTACCATTATATTGAATTATTTTAAGGCTTCCTTTTTAAAACGCTCTGGTAACTTTATTAAATTTATGTTATAGAGCACAAGGTTTTAAGAAACAATGTACTTTTCCTAACACCCTATATCTATATCCGCGCCTTACTCGTTTTCACGTCAATTGTACCTAATCTACATAAATCCCCAAATGTATTGCTTGGAGTTGTATTTATAGGAAGAATACAAAGAGACCAAATCTCAATGACAATATTTAGAAAGTACATACCTGTCAAATACATGAAGGTGTTTTTGTTAGCAATATCCATTTATATAGTTTTGACAAATCTTTATTGCAAATAGCGATGACATAGGCGCAAACTCCACCAAAAAGACGAGGGCATAGGACGTAAGAATGACAGTTAACAGACAAGTGATCGTCAAATATTCTTCTTAGTTTTTGACGCTAGCTGTCATGGATGCGACGCTTTGGCGACGCTTTGGCGACGCTTGTGTGTGCCTTTGTCAATACTTTTTCGTACATTTTGTATGGAAACGTCGCGATGTCAAACGTCAAGCGTCATGCCCTACGCCCTATGTCCTTTCCTTGTCCTCTCTGTGGAGCTTGGGGCATAGGTATAACAAAATTATCTGATCTAACAGTGGCTAGAGCACAAAATAGAGAGTTTACAGAAAGTTCACTCGGCGTATTTCGGACTTTCGCGATTGGCATTTGTTACATAGCCAGTGATAGCCAGGGTTGCTGTTGTCAAAATTTTAGAAGTAAAAATTATAATAACAGCAAACTCTGACAAGGAGCGTCATATGGTTCTGAGCCAATTCTAAATCCAATAAATATGACGTTCGTGTCAACCACCTTCTTAGTTACCTTGACATCCCCTAAGATTACGTTTTTTTCCAGTTTTCGTCAATAAGCGTCAAAATCGTCGCTAGTACTGGGTGAGCCATCTGTATCGGCGCCACACGCGCCGTTTCTCTAATTTGTGGCTAGAGCGTCGCTTAGTACCTAAGCTGAAATTTATATGCGTATGTATATTTTTTTTCCCCAGTGATGCCGGTTTAAAATAGTGTATCTCGAAAATCTAACCGTGGGTGTTTTAAAAGTGATTATCATTCAGGGAATGGGTAGCAGTGTTGCCTGTAGGTAAATGGAACATCTTCCACTGCGCTCGCTAACCCGCCAGCCAAGCGTGTTGAGCATGGTACCTCCGTTAAAGGGAGGCCCAAAGGGTGGGTCCGAAATTGGACTTTTAATGGTGCCGTGCTATGCCGTGTGATGCCGGCTTAGAATAGCATCACCCCAATTCTACCCGTGGGTGTCGTAAAAAGCGACTAAGGGATACTTATCCAGGGAATGGGCAGCAGCGTTCCCTGTCAATGCAACATCATGCACTGCGCTCGCCAATCCGCCTGCCAAGCGTGGTAAGTATGGCAATACCCCCCGATAGGGGGAGGCGCATGTCCAGCAGTGGACTGTTGTGGCTGTTATGGTATGGTGATGACTTGAGGAGGCATATTTTTTGTCAAAAGTTTAATGTACAAACGGTTTTTTAAAACCAAACTTTTCTCATGTAGAAATTTGGGATTTATATGTGCGTGAATAAAATGCATTTGTGTGGCCAGGCGTATCGTTGATTCAAACATTTACTATCCGAGGTAACCAAGTTACCCTCGTTCACTGTAAAACAGCGAGGGAATTATGCCACCGGGATTAACGCCAGCAAAACCCAGTGGGAGAATTTTCAAGCGTTGAAATGCTGATGTAAATTGTCACTGCATTATTTCATTTTGTATTTTTCTTACGTTCTAGTTGCTTTTTTATAAAGTCTTTGCCAGTATGCGACATCCTTGTTGCTCGTGTTAGTTATTTTATGGCAGCTGAATTTATTCACATCCACAGGCTTCTAATTATATCCACAACGAACTTATATGGGGTAGAAAATTACCTGAGCTGCTTCAAAAAAAGGGGTTGGTTAGGAGGTTACACTTTTTGCCCGACTTGGTAAGATAAAATTTACTGTAGGTACACCTGGTAGACTGGCGGCGCTGGATGTCATTTTTGCATAGCATTACCTATAGGTGTGGATCTTTTACGTAGGTATCTAAATGATAAGCAGTGTGGGAAGACAATCTGAAATATTTACAGACGAGACAAAATAAATAGCGAGTTTAAAAAAAGTAAAAAGCCAAACATTGTACTAAACTTTCAATGTAAGAACCCAAGTAAAACCTCGCCTTTTCCTTGACAAGATAAACTGGAATCTTTACGGAGCCGAACATCGGCGGCATGAATTTTTAAACAGCTTCTCACCCCAGAGCCGACGTTGTTTTCAGGTCTCGCTACTAAAGTTTTGAAAGAATTAGCCATGATTATAATTATGCTGCTAACGAGCGTAGCTGTTAAATTTTTTAAAGCGAATTGTTTTAAGAATAATTTATAACACAAAAAAAAAAATCTTGTCAAGGCGGTTGACAATATTGCCGCCATAGGATTGCTTATTGAAAAATACGCACTTCACAAGGCTAGCCAGCGGACGATGTATAACTGTAGCGGCAGATAATACTAGTTGCCTGATCTATCTAACGCTTTAGTTTACATCTGTTTCGTATAAAAATTTAAGATAGAATTTTCCGATGTTATTACAAAAGTGAGGTGCGCGTTTAGACAGTGTTCAAATAAATTTTCCATATGATTTGACGTTGTCAAGCGACTTTAACCATGTCTAACTTTTTTGTAATAACACGGTTCATGTTTGATTCGTTTTTGTGCCACTGTCCAGCTTATTCCTCTGTTGTGTGTTCAAATAATATGTTACTGTTACGATATAAACACAAGTGGCAATAACACACATCCTCAATATTTTATTGTTCCTATAAAGCTGTAGATGTAAGTACGTATTATCTGTACTGTATATATTATGTGCTGTAACTTATCCACTTGGGAGAACCGTACGGAGAACAGATAGAATGCTCGTAAATTCACACATCGATACTAGCTGGCAAAATGGTGGATATGTAAGAGAAACAAATAAAAATGTCGCGTAACTTTTCCCGTTTTCTGTATAGTTATGTTCAGTGTAAGTTTATTACATTATCTTGTACAGGTACTATTTTTATTTATAAGTGGATAGATAAATTATTAAATTAGAAAAAAATACGACATTTATCATAAAGATGTCAGTATAAAAAAGGGGTGCTAAAGTTATAAATAAAACAGGTACAAACTGAAAGTTACTATTTACTGGTGTTAGCAACAAACTTATAAGCGATAAGTGTACCTTTGATAATATCATCAATTTCTTTCTTCATAAAAGTATTTATCCTAATAACTTTTCCTCCATAAATCATATCACGGACTATGTAAGTATCTGATAGTAAAAACGCATTTGCAGAGATATTCATTCCGTTCCGAGCGACTGAATATACGTTTCTGCGCAGGAAATAGGCACCATGTTCCACACGCCCTCTGCTCGCCATAAAATAGTGTAACTTTTGGGGATAGGTACAGTTATGCTCAGGCTGGGTTAATGTATTAGAATTTTTTAATGCACTCACAGCGCAATATTATTCTCAGAAATTAAATAATGAGAAAATTGAAAAATTTATTAGCGACCGCCGGGACTTGAACCCGGGACTGTGGATCACCGTTGCACTGCACGCTCTACCGACTGAGCTACGGGCGCCTAGCGGACCCTGGTGAATCTTTCAACCTCTAGATGCTCGTCTCGAAGCGACGATCCAGCGACTTCTGTAGAAAGTATTTAGAACTTTACCAGGGTCCGCTAGGCGCCCGTAGCTCAGTCGGTAGAGCGGTGCAACGGTGATCCACAGTCCCGGGTTCAAGTCCTGGCGATCGCTAGTGAATTTTCTCTTTATTTAATTTATCAGGCTGGGTTAGACAGGACTTTGGGTCATTCTTATGTAACGCGCATATGACTTACATTGGCGGTTGAAGTGTATTCTAACTAGACTTGAGCTAATTGTACTGCAAGATTGAACAGTAGGTGGTTCTCGCAAGTACTGCATGCATAAACCCGAATTTAAATTAAAATAAAATAAAAGAATCTTATAAAAAACCGAATATCATGGCACATGCAACCTAATACGAACGAACCTGTTACGAACCACAATACCGTCCTGTGGTTGTGCATATTAGTTTGTTAGCGTAATAGGTAACTTTATAATTTAAAAGTTTTAAAACACGCCTGCTTTAGTGGACAAACCATTTTCCTATACAAAACATAGCCTATGACAACAGGATAATGTAAGAATTCTTCTCACACAATTCCCAATCGAATCTGTTCAGTGGTTGAAGAGTTACGGTGGTTTAAAGAAACGCATACATACATACATACATGAACCTTAATTATATATCATACGGATTCTAGCATTTACATTTTGGGTTCAATCGCGGTAGGTATCGCGACGGTTTACATACATGAACCCTAAAAACATTACACTCCTTTTTTGTGGGCAGTAGTGTAAAAATAGGTGGACATGGGAAAAACATGCTTCTGAAAAATTACAATATTTCGTCGTACAAAAATGAGTTTTTACTTTCCGTTTATGAATCTGTTAATATCTATAGTCACATTGTTTACAATACCGATAGTACTTTGATACCCATGTACCTACTGGAATAGAGCAAACGGTTATGTTATGGTCGTCTCTTGGCTTAGGCGAGACCTTACAATAGGTGGATGGATACTATCTAAAGCTTCGAAGCTAAGTTGTTTTGCACAGATTGGCTCCGTTCTGACTACAGTCAACAGTAGCCGCTTTCATACCTTTAAGAGGATCAAGTTTACTTAGTTACTGTGCTATTTCCAGTGTCCAGCGAGAAAAAGTGGAAATAAAGATACAGAAAAAAAAGCTCACACGTATAGCTTACAGGATTTAAAATGAGAGATAGCTTTCACGTTTTCATATTGTTTTCACGGTCTCCTAAAAAGGTAAAAGAGGCTTATCATGCAAATTGTGAAAGGAAAAGGGGAAAAAATCTAACCTTTTTTAAAACAGGACCGCGGCCGTTACGATAATTTTTAAATACACACGTGATAGTAAAAATATAAAATAGACGTTTGAGACTGATTTCTAATTTAGATGGTAATTGGTCACGGAAATATTATACCCCTTGGCGTAAAAAACACACGCAACGTCCGTTTGTGCATAATTCATTCAATTCTCCACCCTACCTTCATACGCTGCGTCGACGGATGTATCTGTCAAATTGTTTAGCATTCAATGAAAATAAGGTGGAAAATCGAACAAACGACGCACTAACAGAGGTTACCGTGAGTTTCTCGCCAAATTGTTTGCACAACTCTTACTCATCAGAATAAAACAATTTTAACTTATTTATGTTGTGTTTATGTTGGATTTTTTAAATAAGAATTATTCAAGGTTCCGAACACTTTTTAGTGCCCGTGGAAGCACATGACTAAGGAGTTATATTTATAAAATCCAAAATAAACACAACTTAAATCTGTTAAAACTGTTTAATTGTGAAAATCTTAAAACTTTATTCTACTTGGCTTGTGGTGATGGTGATCAATTCATGTTCAACGAAATCTTTTGAAAACCTGACAATAGACTAAGGTTGTTTTTAATAGAACTTCTTCAAATGGAATAAGACGAAAAACCTCTTGTCTTCAAGCTTGAAAGAATAATAATACCTTACCGTAAAGCGTCTTACGTAATGTCGAATTTCCTAATAAACTTTGTCTCCATTCACGCTGTCGCATATCGTCATAAAACGAAATTAATTGCCCCACTTCCGCCAGCCAGGCGAAGCAGATTAGCTCTGCATAAAGTGGGGTTGGAAAGTTCTGGAGTGGCAGCTTTACTTGAAAAGCAACAAATAAGTACCTACCTAATAATATATTCATTCCATTGATATTATCTGATGTTGATGTTAGGCGTTAAGTTAAACAAATTATTTCGTTTTCGGTAGGTCCGGTGGATGTCAAAACCAAAGACGAAACGTTCTTGTTTGAGTCGTAACCACGTGTCAAAAACGCAGCATGGGACGGCACGTCTGTCAATGAAAATAGACACGCGTTTATTTTTCACACGCACCTAAAGTAGGGATGTTCTGACTATCTCGTGTTTCCTTTACGTCTGTTATATATAATAAATCTAAACTTACCGCATCTCTCCTTTTACAGGCAGTAAAGTGAGAAGGATATAGTTAAGTTTGCCATTCCTGTAACGTTCGGTTTACACGTTGCTGCAGGCCGCGCGGCTGAGAGGGTTACTTTGCAAAATTCCAATATTATATGCAAATGAATGTGGAGGTAGCCGACACTCTTTGATTGGAATCATCTATTTGATTGGTATCAACCACTCTCCATTTCTGGAAGTTGGATGGAGCACCAGTTGCAAAGCAAAAATCTGCCTGGAAGCTCAAAAAAACTGCCAGACCACTGCTGCCAAGCTGCCTAATATAAATCGAACCTAACTCAAGATCTACGATATTGCTTACGTAGCGCTATAAAATAATAAGTGTGTGTGCGTAGATCTATAGTTAATCTATAGTTACCTACTATGCATATTTTTTGCCGTATGCTAGAAAGATTTCAGTTTAAAAATGTCAACTTCCTACTACTAAAAGAAATATTATTTATTGAAACATTTTATTTCATCTTTTAAGGAAAACTGAGTTAAAGCTAAGCTGGCTTTTAAAAAGTTCAAAAGTGTTTTATCCTAAGTTTAATGAGTTTTTTAATTGAAAGCGGTTTATTGCTCGGCAAGCTTTTAAATAAAAATAATTGATTACGACGTAATAGAACGTACCTAAAACATTAAGTTATATTTCCCAATTAAGAGTTTACGAACTGATAAGAGCCCGCACCATAACTCATAAAATGTGCCTAATTTCAGTCTCCTCGGGCCTGAAATATGGAAGCGATAACCAGCAGTGATGTATAGCTATATTAATATGTATACAGGTCGTAAAAGGGGTATTAATTTTCGTAATGTTTCAAATGTAGAGATAGATGACTGTAATATCTCGAGAATTTACCTGCTTAGCTTTATACAGAGTGTTAGAAAAAGGACTGCGTCGTTTTTCATACAGCGTTGTACTGTAGCTTGCTGTTGTTGTTTACCTTTTTGTGCTGAAGTTGTTACCTGGATACGTATTTTTCATCTATAAAAATATTTCCCTCATGGATTTAGTGCAGAACCGTAAATTTTAATTAGCATACAGCGTACGGTATATAAATTGTTTAACAGCTAAAGCCAACTTTGTATTGCAAAAGAATAAAACCTAGTTCTCTTCCAGAAAAAAAAAACTAATTAATTAAATAAGCAGATGAGCCATTTTAATAAGTGGGTCATCAGTTTGGCTATTAATATCAAACAAAATAGGTCAGCATAATATTTGGTATTGACTAATGTTTGTCTGTATGCCAGAAGGTTATTAGGCATGTGAAAAATGCAGATAAAGCTTTTATTCTCAAGACACATCACATCACATCAACCTATAAACAGTCCACTGTTGGACGCAGGCCTCTATATCAAATTCTTGGTTCAGGTTACGCCGGATGCAAGGTCTTTGCCGTTCTGCCGTTTTCGTCATCCAGTTGATACCAGCTGCTTTCTTTTAAATCATAGCTTTCTTTAAGTTTTAATCTCAACGTACTAATATAATTTTCCTAAGCTAATTATTTTCCCATAGAGCGCCAAATGAAATGGCTTATTCTGATTCCAACGAATTCTAGCCATTCCGACTTCACATAGTTTTACCGTTTTGTGGAATCGGAACGGGTGGAATCGAAACTGTTTGAAATTAGAACCATGCTAGCTAAAAGTAGATAAAATGTTGGTATTTATTTTTTCTTGCGCATAAAAACATACGTTTGTACACGTTTAGTATTCATTCTAGGACCACCCGTAAAAATAACAACGCGAATTTCAGAGTGTTGTTGTAATAACAACCCAACCTCATCATAATTTCCGCCCGCCCTAAGGGCTTGCGTTTGTCAATGTTTGTTGTTTTTCCTTTCTGATTTACATTTGAGCCAAATTATGAAAGCGTTGTTTGTGGGTCAAAGGAAAACTTTACTTACGGTTGGAAGTTTGGAACTCAACTATGTGTAGTTCATTCCCAGTATTTTGGATACTAGTATGGCATGAATGATGAAAAGTAGTATGTGATATCTATAAACAAATTGAAATTCTGCGAGTGTACTAAGTATCTATGTGCGGGTTGATTAGTCATTTGAAAAATAAATCTTTGAAGGTAAAATAGAAAAATTATATACTTATATTTGCGACAACAACCCATTGGAACAAAACCCTAAGAATGTGACTTATCTTATAAGTCTTAACCATCAATAAGTCTCAATAGTCGACGGATACCTACATGTATAAGTAGGAAGGCCATGTTCAGTAATTTCGTGGTGAACCATGCTTGGCAGGTGGAGCGCAGTGCAAGGTCTTGCATTCACAGGAAACTGAGCTGTCCGTGCCCAAAATGTAATGGACCCCTAATAGTTTTTTAATAAACCAGGTAAATCATTTCCGCATTTTCTCTTGCTGGGTAGGCAGAGCATTAACGGTCGTGAAAATACACTCGCTTTTTATTTTTAGGTTGGTGCTATTTACTATATGCTCTAAATGCCTTTATATTCTATCTCAACTGAAGTATTATTTGAGAATTGTGTTATCTTATAAAAGT